AGTGTCCTCCATGTTCTTAATTATCTCGATGCTATTTTAAGAGCTGCATGGGCAGAGCTGTCTAGTGAAAAGAGAAATTCAGCCATCCCTAGGTTAATTACGTATTAGTCAAATGTTAATCTCATAAACATATTTCAGAGACTGTACCCTCTACACAATAGATAGGAAAGGGCTGGAGATTTGTCTCCATGCCCTCAACATCCATAAAATGATCTTACTCTTGGCCGGGCATGGTGGCTCAAGCCTGTAATCCTAGCACTCTGGGAGGCCGAGGCGGGAGGATCACTCAAGGTCAGGAGTTCGAAACCAGCCTGAGCAAGAGCCAGACCCCATCTCTACTAAAAACAGAAAGAAATTAATTGGCCAACTAAAAATATATAGAAAAAAATTAGCCGGGCATGGTGGCACATGCCTGTAGTCCCAGTTACTCGGGAGGCTGACGCAGAAGGATTGCTTAATTAAGTCCAGGAGTTTGAGGTTGCTGTGAGTTAGGCTGATGCCACAGCACTCTAGCCCAGGCAACAGAGTGAGATTCTGTCTCAAAAAAAAAAAAAATGATCTTACTCTTTGGGAAGCATCAATCAAATCCTCATAAAATAGTTCTGTGTTACACTTCAAGATAACATTACTCTCCTCCATGGCAATATTGCTGGTTCTTGTAATAAATGAACTGTAGCCGTTCAACCTTATCAACATGTAGTTTCTGTTACCCCCATGCTTGCCTAAAGATTCCACTATAAGCTACATGGTTTTACAGAATGTGTCTTCATCAAAGGAGGACACTCTCAATGCCTCATGGAAGGCATTGTAGCAAGTGTTTTTGAATAATGTTATTTCAAGAAAGAGACTCATGAGTATGAGCTCCTGAGTAGACAGTACTTAAACAATGTCACTTCTGTCATCAGACTGAGGCAAGATTTCAGGGCTATTCTAGCCCAGATATAGAGGACTTCATGAAACCTGAATGCTGACCCACCACTCAGCAGTACAAGAATTATTTAAGCAGGACTGCATAAATAAGCTGATGAGGGAAATAAACATGCAGTTGTTGGTTTGGAATAGTACTGGTATTATCTTAATGTTCTATTTTTATAGTTTTATGACAAAGCCCTTTCTCTGTCCTCTTAATCTGCCTCCAGTACTTAATTTAGTAAAATATTCTCTGGACATTTATATCTTTGTTGATTTCTTAGCATTCAGGGAAAAATACTTACACTAAATCTCTTTACTTTTCAATGGAGATGTAGTTTTTTGCATAGATTCAATAAAATCATGTCCTCCTTTTTACCAGGACATGGTTTAAAAACCAAATTGTGCAACAAAGTTATTTGAATATTCTTTTTTTTTTTTTTTGACAAACTATGGTGCTCAATTATTTGAATATTCTGGAGTGCCATATTTGAGATACATTTCATTTAGTAGCTATTTTGAGTCCACAATTAAGGAACAAGGTGCTTACGAAACCCCCTAGGAAGTTGATCTGGTACTTGTTCTGTTAATATGTAAGGAAGTTTATTTCCCAAGGAACCAGGAACCTTAGCAGATTTGGGGGAACTTGGGAAAGTAGAATTCACCCACATTATAGGTACCCTATGCAAAAGCTGCTGGAAATAAATTTCTGTGGGTTGTTTTTCTAACCTCAGAATAGAAGAGTAAATAAAAGGAATAATATTTTTCAAATCTCTAAAGTGATAGAGGCTATTGATATACAATGTGTGTAAATACATATTAATGAATCAGGCCCAAACACAATGAGATGGAGGTAGATAGGTGGGTGGTTTGGTTTGCTGGTTTTGGTGATAAAGAACAATCTTTATGAGTTATTTATGCTTACAAAAGGGGCTGATCAGAAAAGAGCAAAAAGATGGCCCCATATCATGTCCCTTGCCACTCTGGACACTATCTTACAGGCCCAGGTGAGGATTATCTAATTCTATAGGGACATGTCCCTTTGTTTGACCTACTATTAACTCTTGCATAAGATACTTTAGAATCCCGAAGGAAAATAGATAGCCAAGCAAATGGGTCTTGTCTGATAGCAAATGCAAATGAACTTTGTCCAATGAGCATCAAACTATTTCTGTGGAGTAGAAAAAATAGCTCCAAATGTTCAGTGTTATTGGCTTGTCGGACATTAACCAGTTTTACCTCTACTTTAGCAATCTTGTTCCTGCATACTTCATTTCAACAACTGAAAACATTTCTGTCTCTCCTATACTCCTTAGAACCAGCTGTACCATTCTATGGCTCCCTTATTAATGACTTACGTAATTTTTGAATGCACTTGGAAAAGTACAATGCACAAGGTAGAAAATTAAAGCAGTGCAGAAACATACAAAATAAAAATACGCAGTTAATAGTTTTTGGAGCACTAAACTGTGATATGTTCACCCCCAACACCAATCCTCTGAGTACCGCCCCCAACCTGCACCTCTCAGACACAATTATGGTCTTTCTGGAGGTGGACTCTACACTATGCTCGCTAGCAACCACTGCCTATTTGTTTGTTTGTTTATTACAGACAGGGTTTCACTCTGTTGCCCAGGCTGTAGTGCAGCGGTGCGATCATAGCTCCCTGCAGCCTTGAACTCCTGGGCTCCAGTGACCCTCCCACCTCAGTCTTCTGAGCAGCTAGGGTTGCAGGCATAGACTATCATGCCTGGCTAATTTTTTCCATTTTTCGTAGAGACAGAGTCTTGTTATGTTGCCAAGGCTAACCTTGAACTCCTGGCCTCAAGTGATCCTCCCATGTCAGCCTCCCAAAGTGCTGGAGTTACAGGAATGAGCCACCACGCCTGGCCCACTGCCCACTTGAAAGAACGAGAGCATTTTGTCACGAGCCTGTAGGGCACAGCCTAAGCAGGGCAGCAGCCTCTTCTCCTGGAGGGTCGGCACCCCTTGAGAGGGTTTCCTGATACGCCTTCTTCTCTTTACAAACCCTCAGCCCAAGCCCGACCTCAGGTTACTGACGGGACGCTGTTGTGTCTTTGACAGACCTGAGACCACTTTGGTCCTTGTGTAGTTGGCTGCACTGAGTTTCAGTATTTGGTGCCCACAGAACCAGCTGGGTGCCAGCTGCTCCTTGTGAAATCTCTCTCACACGCTGGGCAGTGCCCTCCAGACCCCATCGGTTCTGTGTCCTTTCTGAGTATTTCCTGCCAAGACCCCTCTGTTCCAGCCCGGTGATCTTCATGTGATGCTGTGGGCAGGGCAAGGTGAAGGGGTGTTGCCTCCCAATAAAGAGCTAAATTCCATCCTTGCCATGCCTTCTGTCTCAACTCAGCCTCTTTACTTTTAATTAATACTAACTGAGACCCTCCTATACACCAGGCAGTTTTCTGAGTATGGCTAATACAGCAATGAATGGGTCCTACCCTCTCTTAATGGAATTAGCTATGAGTTGGTTCTTGATAGCTGAGATGCTTCCCAGATATGATAAATTCATTGGAAAAAATAGCAACCACCACCGCTCTCTATATCTATTCTCTATACCACATGACCTTGTAGTTCCTCCCGGCAAAAAGTGGAGTCTATTTCTCCACTCCTTGAATCTGGGCTGCCTTGTGATCTGCTTTGGCCAAAAGAATGCAGCAGAAATGATGCTTCAGTTCCAATCCTGAAACTCTGGAGCCCTTGCATTCTTGGAATCCTGCCCAACCACTCTATGAACAAGCCCCTGCTAGCCTAATATGCCCAGTCATCCCCATTGTCCCAACCCTCAGCCAGCCAATTGTCAGACATGGGAGCAAGGCTACCCTAGACCAGCCAACCCCCAGTCAACCCACCAGCTGACCACAGGTGCATGAACGAGCCCAGCCAACATGAGCCAAACCTGGCCGGACCAGACCTTTAGACACATGAGCTACAATAAATGCTGAGTGTATACCTGAGCTTTGGGGTGGTTTGTTACACATCGATAGCTAACCAATGCATCTGGGGGATTTTATTTCTTTATTTAAGATAGAGTCTCGCTCTGTTGCCCAGGCTAGAGTGCAGTGGTGTCATCATAGCTCACAGCAACCTCAAACTCTTGGGCTCAAGCAATCCTCTTGCCTCAGCCTCCCGAGTAGCTGGGACTACAGGTGCACACCACCAAACCTGGCTAATTTTTCTATTAGTAGTAAAGATGGGGTCTCACTCTTGCTCAGGCTGGTCTCAAACTCCTGAGCTCAAGCAATCCTACTGCCTCAGCCTCCCAGAGTGCTAGGATTACACATGTCAGCCACGATGCCCGGCCCATCTGTGGATCTTATCTACTTCTACCAACAACTCTGGGATCTTCAGAGAAATTAAACAATTGCATTTTCTGATCTAAGTTTACACAGCTTTTAAGTGAGTGACAAAAGATTTGAACTCAAATCTATAAGAAAATAAAATGCTCCTTTCACAATAGCATAGAACTTTCCAAGGGCTCACCTAGCTTCTCTGCTCTGCCACTTTTAGATTACCAAAAATCAAGCAACACAAAACACATCAGGTCTCACAAAAGAATACATACTGTATGATTTCATTTACATGAAATTCTAGAACAGGCAAAATCAATTAACAATGAAAGAAATCAGATCTTAAATCACCCGAGGACAGGGAAACAGACTGCATAGGAAGATGAGGGAACTTGTGGGGGTGACAGCAATGTTCTATATTGTGATTGGAGGGGTAGATACCTAGGTATCTATATTTGTCAAAAGTTATCTCTACTCTTTATTTCTTTTTTAAATTATTCATTTATTTATTTATTATATAACAGCAGGAGTGAGGAGGGGGTTTCAGTTTGCTTTCTTTTCTTTTCTTTTCTTTCTTTCTTTTTTTTTTTTTTTTTTTTGAGACACAGTCTCACTCTGTCACCCCAGGCTAGAGTGCAGTAGCATCATGATAGCTCACTGCAACCTCTAACTCCTGGGCTCAAGGCATCCTCCTGCCTCAGCCTCCGGAGTAGCTGGGACTACAGGCGTGTTCCACCATGCCCGGCTAATTTTTTCCATTTTTTGGTAGAGATGGTGTCTCACTCTTGCTCAGGCTGGTTTCAAACTCTTGAGCTCAAGCGATCTTCCCACCTCAGCCTGCCAGAGTGCTGTTTCTACTCTTTACATGGGTGCATTTCATCATGAAAAAAGCATACCTCAATAAAGCTGATTTTGAAAGTCGGGGAAAAATAAAACCTTAGGAGCGCTATCTTGTCTTTTTAACATTAAGGAGAAGAAACTTCAGAACGACGGCAGTGCTTCCAATCTCCCAGGGCTTATTCCTCTCCCAGAGCGGTCTTGCTAGGGGGTCTCTGGGGAAGAATGCCGCTCCCCGCCGCTATTCCCTGTCCAGGCGGCCTAACCAGAGGCAGCTCCGTGGCCCTCCTGGCTGGCCTGGCCCAGGCGGGTCTCGCAGACCCAGCGGTAGGGCCTCTGGCAGACGTCGTCGTTCCACCGGCCGTCCAGGAGGAAGTGGGCACAGTCCTCGCCTCCGCCCAGCCCGTGCCCTTGCCAGTCGTCAGGCTGGCCCGGCTTCCAGTTCCTGAGGGGAGAGGACGACAGCCAGCTAGGAAGGGTGGATGGGGTAGAATTCGGACTGGGGAGGAGGGGCTTTGGGTCGATCCCTGGGGCAGAGCTGGGGAGGGGACGTGGGGCGTAGAAAGCCGTCGTGCACTCACTGGAAGTTGGTGTCGTAGTCCGTCCCATCCACCCATTTCCAGACTCCCTCAGTGTCACTGAGGCCCATCCAGGTGTACGACAATTCTAGATGTTTCTGGACAAAATTCTGGAGGAACAGAAGGGCAATGGTGATGTCTCCTCGTGCCAGCTGACCCCTTGGACTAGCAATTCTAAGCTCTAGCTCTTTGTTAAATCACTTGAGTTTGGGACTGTTTATCCCAATGCCCAGGCCAATTAAATCTCTGAGAGTGTGGCTCAGGTGGCAGTCGTTCCTGAAGCTCCCGGGGTGGTTCCAGTGTGCAGCCACGGTTGACAACCATTGCCCTAAAGGGGACATGTCTTGGCAGCTGAGTGCCAGAGCCTGCACCTGCTCCTCCCTGGAGTTGACGACCACCAGGTGCGCGCCCTCCAGCTGGCAGTACTTCTCTGCCTCGGGCCAGGGCTTCCCGGAGCGGGAGAACCAGTAGCAGCTGCCCGCGTGCTCCACCCAGCTGACGGGGCAGCAGGTCCCTTCGGAGCCTGAAAGGAGGTAGAGGGGCCTGAGGCGCTGCCCGGCGGGCTATGGGCAGGGAAGTGGGGCCAGGCACTCCCCACACCCTCCTCACCATTGCTCTTGAGCAAAGCCACCTGGCAAGTCAGGGAGTTCAGGTCTTTCACCAGCTGCTGGACTCGCAGGAGCATTTCAGAATGATCTGGGACACGCACAGATGGGCAGTGGGGACAGAGCCCTGGGTGTGGCTTCAGCTCAATGCATCCCTGGAGCTCAGAGGCCCCTGCATGGGGCCCAGCCCAGGGACCTCCTGCCCTCCCACACGTGCCATGCCCAAGTGCGGGAAGCAGCCGGCAGACCTGTTTTCAGTTGCTGCTCCTGTCTCTCCAGCCGGCTCTCCAGAGAAAGCACCTTGCCTTCCACGCTGCGGGCTACAGGGGAGAGCGGCTCAGCACCAGCAGGCTGTTCCCGCCCCACCTTTATCTGAGAGCCCCCCCCCCGCCCCACCTTTATCTGAGAGCCCCCCCCCGCGCCCCACCCACTTCCACACACTCTCTTGAAGGTCTCTCACCTGCTTGCAGTTCCTGCTTGTGACCCTCCACCTCAGCCTTCAGAGATGTGACCGTTTCTTGCAAGCTGCTGCCTGCAGGACGCGGGGACTGGGCTCAGGACTCAGATCCCCCCGCCCCCACGTGGCCCCGGCCCAGAGCCCGTCCAAGCCAGGCTCACCCTGGGAGGTCAGTGCCTGGACCTCAGCCACAGTGTTTGAGGTGAAGTTGCTGAAAGTCGTTCTCAACGTCATCAGGTCCCTCTGAGACTTGGAATCTGATCAGATGGATGGCATGATCAGAGCCAAGATGCGTCAGGTCCTGTCTGTGCAGGCACTGAGCAGGGCACCCTACATGCATTGTCCCATTGGGTCCTCAGGGAGACCCAGTGGGGCAGGCACTGTTGTTATCCAGTATTGCAGAGGAGGAAAGAGGCTCAGAGAGGTGAAGTAATGTGATTACATAACCCAGCTAGTAAGTGGCAGAGCCAGGAGCCGTCCTGATTGTGGCCCAGAGCCCTCTCCCCCAGCGGCCCCCCAACATTCCCATCGGCCAGCCCATTAATACCGCCATCAGCACATCAGTGGCCCCGTTATGGCCCCTACAGCTGTTGATAGCACTGCCACTGTGGTGACCCTCGGTTATCTCCGTAACTGCCCCAGCACGGTGCCTGCCAGTGCTCCTGCCACGGTCCTCACCATCGCCCCTCACTGCCCTACCATGGGACCCCCGTGATCCTCACTCTGGGATCCGACCACACAGATGACGACCAGCAGCAGGAGGCTGAGGCCCAGAGACAGCAGAAGGAGGCTGGGCCCGAGACCGAGACGCCGCAGGAAAGAGGGCCCTGCGGGAGGAGGCGGCCCTGCAAGAGGAGAGGGTGTCAGGACAGGCAGGGCCCAGGACATGCCAAAGACAGGAGGAGGACAAGGCGCAGGGACCAGTCCAGGGGTGACGGCCAGACACAGGTAATGCTAGCGGAGGGCTGGACGAGGAGGGTGGAGAGTGGGGGAGGCCCAGGCCTTTGACCTGGTGGACCAGCACAAGTCCCCAGTCAGTCACATGGGTCCCTCATTGCCCTGGGGTCCCATGTACTCACACAGACAGCAGACTATGGTGCTAGGGGAGATCCTGTCATCAGAGCTGGGGGAGGGGCAGGAAGACACGGGGACCGCAGGGGCAGCCAGGCCCGTGGCAGGCTCACACTGGCCTGCACCAGCATGTTCACACATGCGTTCCCCTTCCAAACCCAACTACCCATCTCCCCCACCCCTCTCCTCTCACCCCTGCCCACAGAGCACAGGGAGCAGCTCTGCAGTGGTCCTCCCTGTCCCCGTCTTTCTGAGGACCTTGAATCCTCTTCACACAGGATCCCCCAGAGGCTAGGGCCTGGCCCCCTCCAAATGGGGGACACACCAGTGTGCCTGGGGGACGTGCAGACATGGCATGGCAGGAGAAATCCTTCTAAACATTTTAGGAGAGTCTTCTCCTTTCCTCTTACCATTTCTAACGCCCTGGTTTTTCTCCTCGCTTTCCAGGTGCTGGAGGTCCTCGTACTTCATGCTTGGGCCAGCACGGCCTCTGTCTGGATTTCAGAGCTGCAACGGAGGCAGGGCCAGCCGGGCCGGAGCTGGGGCAGGGGGGAGCTGGGGCTAGGCTGGCGCTGCAGGTGGACCTACGGTTTAGGGCCAGGGTGGGGATGGGCCTGGGTCTGCGGCCGAGGTGAGAAGTGGGGTCAGGCTTGGGCTTTGGGCCGGGGTTGAGTTGGGTTTGGCATTGAGAGTACAGGTAAAATCAGAGCTAGATTCCTTGCGAGGACTGGGTCTGTCATCGGGGCTGGAGGTTGTGTCTCAGGCTTGGATTGGGATCTGTACTCATGTTGGAGCCACAATGAAATTGGGCCTTAGCTTGGCACTGAATTTGAAAATATTAATATAATAGAATTGAAATTCAGTTTGGGGTTGGGGCTGGTGTTAAGATTTCAAGTTGAACCTGGGGTTGAAGCTGAGGTCGGGTTAAAGTGGGAGCTGGGTTAGTTTTGGGGTTAGAGCTGTGGCTGGGGTTGGGGCTGAGGACAGGCTGGAATCGGGCTGGTGATAGGGCTGAATTTGGGTCTAGTTTGTGGCTGGGATTGTGGCTGCCATAATTCAATTTCAAATCCACTGAAGGGACTAGAGCAGGCGTCCTCAAACTGCGGCCCATGGGCCACATGCGGCCCGCTGAGGACATTTATCCGGCCTGCCGGGTGTTTTTGCCACCGCTGCCTGTCCTGCTTAGCAGCCCACTCGTCCCGGGCCCACAGTGCGCATGTGTGGAATGTGTGCCGCACTCCCCAATGGCCCTCCAGGGGTCTGAGGGACAGTGAACTGGCACCCTGTTTTAAAAGTTTGAGGACCCCTGGACTAGAGCCTCAAACCTCCACTTGTTACTTCAATCTCAAACCATCCTTTATACTCCTTCCCATTCAATGCCACCCAAGACCCTGCTTCCTCTGACATAGTCCTTGTCCCTTTGGTCTCACCTGCATCCCCAGCCCAGTTACCTGTGGAAATTCTGGAGGCTGCGATTCCTGGATTCACTGTACAGCAGTGACCGGAGTTGGGAAGCTGTTCAGAGTTGAAGAAACTCAGTCCTGGAGACTTAGGGTAGGGGTGACCAAGGAGGAGCCACACCCGCGATCAGAGTCCTGCTGGTCTCGTGTCTGAAAGCCCAGGAGTCTATAATCTGGGACATCCCATTTCCCCAACTTTGGACAGTAAACATGAGAATGAATTGAAATTGGAACACAGGAGATTGCTTGTGGGGGAAGCTGGGTACGAGGCCAGCTTTTCCCTCCTCCTCCGGGGCGGGCCCCTTTTCCCGTTTTTTACAGCTCCACTGACTTCCTCATTTCCCCATCTGGGTGCAGAGCTGGACCAGAGAGGCCAGAGGTGCCATCTGTTGTTCCTCCTCTACCCCACAACCTCCTTTCGCTTCCTGCCTCCTTCTTTATTTTTTTTTTTGGACAGATCCACTGTTGCCCAGGCTAGAGTGCCGTGCATCAGCCTAGCTCACAGCAACCTCAAACTCCTGGGCTCAAGCAATCCTTCTGCCTCAGCCTCCCAAGTAGCTGGGACTACAGGCATGAGCCACCATGCCCGGCTAACTTTCTATATTTTTAGTTGGCCAATTAATTCTTTCTATTTTTTAAGTAGAGATGGGTCTCACGCTGTCAGGCTGGTCTCGAACTCGATCTTGAGCGATCTCCTGCCTTGCCTCCCAGAGTGCTAGGAATTACAGGCGTGAGCCACCATGCCTGGCTCTGCCTCCTTTCAACTTCCCAGAATTGTTGCTGTCTCACCACTGTACTCCCAAGCCCAGGGGAGCCCATCCTCTGCTCTTGCTAACCCTGCCCAAGTCCCTGGCATCTGAGCGTCTCGGAGCCCTCGGCATTCAGCTCCCAGCTCTAGCATCACTCGCCTCCATCCACTCAGGGGCAGAAGAGGGTGACAGGGAATAGGATTTCCTGGCCAGAATGGAGGGAGGAGCCGGGAAAAGAGCAACTTTTATGGAGCATCTAATCTATGATGACGATTATACAAGACACTGCCTTATGTAATCATTGATCCCACAAGAGCCTCGGGGGGCATTTTGGATGATGGACTGAGGTTCAGAGCCCAAGATCACATGGCTCATAAAGGAAAGTGTTCAACACCCGGGCTCTCTACACACACACACGCTGTGCTCACGAACAGGATTCCAACTCTCCTGCAAGCCCTGCGATCCTGAAGGGCTGCCCTGAACCCATGCCCATGTCCCTTTCAATAGGAAGGAACCTGAGTGTCTTAAAAGGTTCCAAAAATACATTTGAGGTTATATTTTCTATGTAAATGAGATTGTGTTCTGCAACTTTCTTTTATTGAATTAATATATCAGGAAAATTCTCCCAATCAGTTCAGAAAATGTACTTTATTCACCTCCACCTCATTTCGTCATATGTACATAACCTATTTATTAAGCATTTCCCTAATTTGTTGGCTTTTTTTTTTTAGAAACGGGGTCTTGCTATGTTGCTCAGGCTGGTCTCAAACTCCTGGCCTCAAGTGATCCTCCCACCCCGCCTCCCAAAATGCTGGGATTACAGGTGTGAGCCACTGCACCTGGCCAAGCATTTTCCTACTCACGGATATATAGGTTGTTTCCAGTTTTGTTTTCGTGTTTTGCTTTGGGAGTTCAACCAGTACTGCCCATTGGAGGTTTCCAGCATTGGGCCAACATGGGGGGCCTTTCTAGCACCACCTGGCCTAGTAACTGGGGGAGGAGGACCCCAGCAGGGGCGTGACCTCAGTGGAAGTACCTATCTGCAGATCACACTCCCCACAGCTGGACAACACTTCCTTCCTAGAAGGGGGGATGTGGGTAGCTCGTCTCTGTGCCACAGTATTGCACTGTATTCTCATATTAATTGGAGGATAACCAACATTTTTACATTATTGAATCTTCCCTGGAAAGAACATGCTATGTTTCTCCACTCACTCATACATGCATTAATGAATCCATTCAACAAGTACTTATTGACTGTCTACAGCACACCAGGCCCTGTCCTTCAGAAGAGGTATACTTTTTTTATGCCTTTATTATGCCAAACAGACCAAAAGGCCCTGTCCTCGTGGAGCATATGTTCTCGTGGGTGACTGATGAACAAAATAAATGAGTTAAATATATGTAAGTCACATGGTGATAGTGCTATGGCAGAAAATAGCAGGGATGTGAGTTGGGGTCAGTTTTTCATTGGCCATCACGAACAGGTGTCAAGAAAGGCCTCACTGGGAGGGTGATAACTGAGCAAAATTTGGAGGAGATAAGGAAGCAAGTCAGAGAGCTCTGGGAGGAGGAGGGCTCCAGGCAGAGGGCAGAGCAAGTGCAAAGACCCGGAGGTGGGAGGGTGTCTGGTGTGGATGAGGGTCATGCATTTGCCAGAGATGCCAGAGATTTTGTAGAGAAGTGAGCTAGCCAGGACAGGAGTTGGAGGGTCACAGGGGAAAACGTGGGGCACCAACCCTTTAGAGCCTTGTAGGCTGTTATTAAGAATTTATGTTTCCTCCAAGTCAGAGAGGCAGGCTTCGAAGAGGTTGGAGCAGAGGAATGACATAACCCAACTTATGTGTTAACTGTCACAGTGTGGCTTTAGTCTTGTGAATTTCATGAAAAGGAACAAGTAAGGAAACAGAGAGTCCAGGTAAGCAGCTGCTGTGGCATCCAGGTGAGAGACGAGGAGGTGCGTGCATGGAAGTGGTGAGAAGTGTTCTGATTTTGGGTATACCATGAAGGTAGAGCAGACAGAATTTTACTCATAAATTGCATGTGGGTTTCACCAAAAAAAAAAAAAAAAAAAGTAGTTCTCCTTCTAGTCCCCAAAATAAATAAAACCTCGAGCTTTTCCCATAAACTGCTGACTCCCTAGGAAAAACAGTCCTATCCCTGACTTTGCAATGCTGATGCCTGGATATGTCATGACCTTTTGTAAATATGAAAATCATGTGAGAAAATTATTGGGCTTTACCATCATGAACAAACTGATAAAAACTTGTAAACGTTGGTAATCTTGCAGAGTCTCCCTTTCAGTGCCTGTTGTGGGTTTTGCTTGGCAAACCTGTCCTCCCAAAATCTGATTCCTTTGCAACTGCTTGGCAATCAGCCATCTTTTCTTTCCTAAATGCTTCTGTCTCTGAGACTCCTTTCACGGTTGACAATCATATCAATAGCTTCCTTTTTCTGCTACCTTTTCTATGATTCCTTACCTTCTCCCAGCAGCTTAGCTGGTCGGGACATTTTACCTGGTGGGGTGATCCAAAACTTCATCTCTACAGTGTCCCGGTCTTTAGGGACCTGCTTTTATTGAGTCACCACAATTTGCCATTGGCCATTGTTATTCCAGGACACTGGACTATTGTGTGACTCCCCAGTGAGCCTCAAAGGATTGCACACCCAGCCCCTTTTCCCTCCATGGGGGGGCGGCAGACCACTTTCTCTTCTTAATCAGAATCGGTGACACCCAAAAGTACAGTTACCCCCATCCCCTGCTTTATGAGAAACCCAAATCGGCCAGGAATCGGTCTCAGCTTGGAACTTAAACAGAACCCAGGTTGTCTTCCCCGATGGATGCATTCTTTCCTTGGGCACTCGAACTTCCAAATCCAAAGAGCCCAGATTGTTCAGCTGAAAAGCAAAACTTAAATGGACTATTAGGTGTCCTGGGGAGAGGAGACATTGCCCTGTTCTATGCCTTGGCTGTGCCTATGCCCGTGGGAGAGATGGCACCATATTGAGAGCTGATTTAAGGCATATATTAACAGACAGCTTGGGCATGACAGGTCAGGGAAAGGTAGTAAAGTAAAAAATGCACCCCACCTCTGACCCCCAGGTCCAGAGATAGCAATGGGACATATGCCCTTTCAGATATATTTCTGCACATATTTATATATGTATAAACATACACACGTGTGTAATAGTTGTGGATATTTTACAAAATTTTCTCTGTAACATGCTTTTGCCTAAAAGTGCATCGTGTAAGTCTTCCCTGTCGCTACCTGCCTCCTCCTTATTAAGGGCTGCATGGTGTTCCCAAGCATAGACATGTTTATTTAATGACTCTCTATTGCCACATTTTTGAGACAATTGCATGTTTTTGATTTTATAAATAATGCTGAAGTGAACAGGCTTATATATGCCTGTTTGTCCTAACTGTATTTGTATATTTTTCTGGACTTATAGTCTGTTCCACCAGTTTAATTTCTCTTCTTATGCTAACATCATCCTCTAGGGCATTTTGCAACAACACCATCAATTCTCTGCAAACACCAACTGGCGTCCTATAATTTATTTCAATTCTGACACTAACTGCCTAGAATTAGTGCAGACCCTATAGGTTAAGGGTTCCGTCCCGCATGACTGGCTTTCATTTCAGATGCCAATGGCAAGTCCAGGCCACTCACACATTTGATCAACCAGCTATAAATTGAAGGTTCCCACAGCCTCATGTTTGGGTTCAATAATTTGCTAGAACAGCTCACAAAACTCGGAGAAACACTTACTTACATTCACTAGTGTATTATAATGGACATTATAAGGATATGAGCGAACAGTCTGGTGAAGAGATACATAGGGTGAGGTCCAGAAGGGTCCTGAATACAGGAGCTTCTGTCCTGTGGAGTTAGGGTGCACACCCTCCTGGCAGGTGGATGTGTTCAACAACCTGGAAGGTCATCAGATCTCATTGCCCAAGAGTTTTCATAGACGTCACTCTCCAGTCATCAATCCCAAAGAGGTCTGTGAATGAGGCTGAAAGTTGTAACTCTGTAATCATTTGTTCTTCCTGGTGACCAGCCCCACCCTGAGCCCCAACCTACCTCGCCTCATTAGCATAAACTCAGGTATGATCAAAAGGGACTCCTTACAAATAACAAAAGATGATCCCATCATCAGGAAATTCCAAGGGTTCTAGGAGCTCAGTGCCAGAAACCAGAGATAAATGCTAACAAAAATTATTGATTAGTATTCAAATAGCAAGTTTAATACCTCTACTTTTCAGAATTGCTGATTTCAGGACTTTTTGCTTGCAAACCTTGTTAATTCTTGTAACACCATTCATAGGAGTTATATAAGTACATAATGTGTATGAATTTAGTAATATTTATTTTATTTGCAAGAATGACTCACCATTATCAACACACAGAGCTGTGATCACACACTTATAATGTGGCAACTTCTCCCCTACATACACCTGTCATAATTCTCAAAATGTCAACCTTCAAGATCAATAATTAATGTATTTCATGCTCTTGCTTTTGACTTGACCTCACTGGCTCCCTTGAAGTCCTTTCTTTTTATACTATTATTGCCATGCAAATTACATCTTTATATATTTTAAGCCCATC